TCTTCATCAGTTTTGCTGCTTGGGCGTTTCTTCTGGACCATAAGAAGGGAGAAAGGAAATCACTTAAAGGTGGAAAAGATGATCTAAAACGATGGGTTCACTCCCTCAACTGGAATCTTTACTAGTGAAATAGATAACAGAAAATATTTCAAAGAAGAGACAAGCAGTAAAGTCCCAAAAGAAGGAGGAAGAAGGATTTCTTCACAAATTTCTCCAAAAGCAAAAACACGAAAGGTATGAGATGCGAGCTGCTTCTGTCGGACATAGGCATAGAACTCACAATCAAAATCTCTTGCTATTGGGAGCCAGCAGTTAGCGTAATGGCTATGTCGCTGGATTCCCACGTAGTCGACCGCGGTTCGTGTCCCGGACCCGGTGGCTTAAAACTCATGCCGGGCGCGTGTGCGTGCATGCCCAAGATCCCGAGAGGAGAATGGAGGAGAAGGGATTGCGGCGTGACCATCCTCCCTGGGGGGTGATTTCTCGCTTTCTGTCTCTATGTCTCTCTCTGTCTGTCTGGCGAGCGCACGCGCCCTACAGTGAAAATCTCTCAAAAAAAAAAAAAAAACTCTTGCTATTGCAGGGCGGGGGATCCTTTTTTGAGAAAGGAGAGGAATTCCTCTTGAACAATTCTCCTGTGCACCAACCATGTTCAAATGGGCTTTTCTGTAGACTAATACATGAAGATCTTCTACCCTACCCTTTGGAAGTGTGTGTATGTGTGTGTGTGTCACCATACTACACATAAAAACTTGTGTCTTAGATCAAACTCTCACCCATCTCTCACCTGGAAAATACCAATGGCCTCCTGGTCTCGAACCCACCTCTGCAGTGCTGTCTAAATGCAGATTTAACCACCTCCTCCATTGTCTGAAACTTGCCTGGCACACCTCACTGTCCGCAAGATAAAGTCCACTCCCACAGACATAATGTCCCCACCTCCTCCTTCAATCCCCATGCTCGGTACTTCCTGCTCACGGTGTATACTCCAGCAACTCAGGGGCTCTTCATCGTTTCCTGCCCACACCGTGTAGCGTTCCTCCCCCATGACGTTCCTCACACTGGGACCTCTGCCAACCTCTCCCTCTGGGCAGTCTTCCGTAACGTATCACACAGCCCGCCTGCTTCCTCACCCTCCAACGCCCTGGCCCTGTCTGCATCTAGCAGTTAGAATCTTCTATTTTGGTGTCTGTTTCTGCTACTATACTTAAAAAGGCGGTGGGCAGCCAGTGGCATGGTGGTTAAGGCTCTGGTTCCACATGGCCAACTGTGCAGATGGAGGTCTGGCCCCAGTGGCTTCGAAAACATGCTGGGCATGTGTGCATGCATGCCTGAAATCCCAGGAGAGTGGAGGAGAAGGGATTGCGTTTACCAGCCCCCTGAAGGGTATTTTCTCATTTTCCCCCTCTCCTTTTTTGTCTTTCTTCCAAAAGCGCAGGTGCCCTAGAGAAATTAAAAACCAAATAGATAAAAATCTTTCACTGAAGAGTAAGATACACCAAAACATATGCAGATCTGAAGCCTGCGACCTGCTGAATGTTTTGAGATTTTAAGCAGCACCCAGAATGAGAAGGCGCCATTAAGTTTTTGAGATTAGAGGCTGAGTTTTGTTCCTCTCTGTAACCTCAACACCAAACACAGTGGCTTGCGTGACGAATGTACCCAACGATCGGCTGAGGAATGAATGGATGAATGAGAATCTTCCTGTCCCTTTCTCTCTGTTTGACCCACTTCCCTTTTCTTTCTTTATTTTATTTTATTTATTGATTTATTTTTTTTGAGAGGTTTTTGCTATAGGGCAAGTGTGCTAGCCAGAAAGACAAAGACAGAAAGCTAGAAATCATCCCCCAGAAGGGATGGCCACACCACAATCCCTTCTCCTTCATTCTCCTCTCGAGATCTTGGGCACGCACACTCACCGGCGTGCAGCCACCGGGTCCGGGACTTGACCTACAGTCGACTACATGGGAGTCCAGAGACATAGGCATTACACCATCTGCTGGTCCCCACTTCCCTTTCCTACCAATTCTCTTTTTACCTGAGTTGCCCAACAGGATAATGCAGTGTGTCTTTTCCAGGCTTTGGGAACCTAGATGCTGAGTTACGCGGGGTGTGAAGAAACGTTTGTACCGGGGGGAAGGGAAGGGGAAGAGTTTGGCTGCTCAGCAGCAAACCTGGATGTGCAGTCTGGTAAGATCCAAGGCAGCCATCAGAGAAAAGGAACGTCTTTTCTCCTTAGAGACTTGAAGCTGCTGTCTCAACTGCAGAGCAGCACAGGAGCTCTGCCAGGTGAGAGCAAACGAAGTCTCTCGTGAACAGCGCCTTGCGGCCTCTTTGCGTTAGATCTGAGGGAAAGACACGAGTGGCGGGCGTTTCTTCAACACAGCCCAGCGCTTGGCATCAGCTCTACCGACGTCAGAGCCG